GATTTTCAAGGTGCGGCGAAAAAAGGAAAAGGTAGACGGCTCGGCGCAAGGAGTACCTGGCCGGCGCCGCAGCCAAGGCGGTAAGAAGAGACAGCGGGCAGCATAGGTAGAATAGTAGGCGCCCGCCAGGTAGGGCAGCATGTACCTTTTGTGGTTAGACCAGACCAAAAGTAAGTTCAGCAATCTAGTGAAAAAGCCAGAGCTCGTAAGGTAAATGCTGCAAATTGTGCAAGAGTAAGAAAAGTGCAAAGGGCGACGCCTTGACTGTGCAGTTCTAGGGTTGCTGCCCAGGGCTTGGGTTAACCCCAACCGTATGTTAGTGCGCTCCCCTCCAACAGCACTGTTACCATGGACTGTCCCCCGTCCGCCGCCAAGAATAGTACTGGGCGTGCTACAGTAGATGGTTTGCGGCTTGAGGAATCAAAAGTAGAAAGAGGGTTGCTATCGGTATCCTGTAAATGCTCAGGCTGGCCTGTAGGATGAGGCTTGCCACAGGAGTAAAACATGGTAGGCAAATAGGGACAGTCCCTCCGCAGTGCAGTTCTTGCGTTGCTGCCCAGGGTTTTGATTGCTAACCCCAAACCACGCTGAGCCCTTCCCCAACCCAAGATCCTCAGCCCGCAATTCCCCAACCCGAGGCTAGAGTGAGGTGAGTGTGCGCTGTGTAGGCTTGCTGATAGAATTGTGGCGCTTGAAGACTGCCAACGGGTGCTCCTACTCAGCCACCAGAGTGGCTATTATGCAGTGAGAGCGCTGCTAGCAAAGTGGGTGCTGCACAGGATGTATGAACTGAATGCTCCACAACAGTAACGTGGGCAGATGTCTCACGTGTCCAGGGCTGTGGAGCGAAAGAAAGAAGTTATGAGCATGCACCTCTCGTACAAGCCTTGTATGACAGTAAGGCTGGACAAGTCAAAGTGAAAAGGCCCTTTTGCCAGCAGTAGGCTCGCTCTTTTTGCCAGCAGTAGACCGCCCTTCGGTTCCCAGGTGGAGGGGCCACCGTCACCGTAATTCATGTCAGGAGTAGGGGGATGCGCAACGAGAGACAGGGAGGAAAGAACAAAGGTAACACCGATGTATGGGTCCTCCTCCTCTTCCTCCTCCTCCTCCTCTTCCTCCTCCTCCCCGTTTTGGTGTTTCATTTGTCTTCAGACTATCCCAGCCTGCGACCGTAGTTTGTCTTCCATGGCTAGGCTGCGCCAACGTGCGCGCCGAGGGGTGCTCTGACGGATGTCGGATGTCCTAGGAGGTTGCGAGGATTCTCGTTTCTTCCCCCTCGTCGAGGCCTCCTGGATGGAGTCCGAGTAGATGGGGTCGGAGGATCGCGTCGCATCGCCGATGCATCGGCGATGCGGCTCGATGTGGGGCCCGCTTTTCTCCACGCCAATGGCGCCGATGCATCGCCGACGTCGCCCGTGCATCGCCGATGTATCGGCGATGCGGCGAGGTCCTCCGACCCCATCTACTCGGACCCCATCTAGGAGGCCTCTAACTTGTTGCGTGAGTGCCCCAGCACGCCACCCCGCCCGACGAACGGCCCGTCCCGCCCCCCCCCCTCCGCCCCCCGAGGCGAGCCCGCCCGCCCAACGTCCCGCGTAATTGTTCTGCCCCACGCTTGTGGAGCAATCTGGGGCCTTCACTTCCTCCTCCTCGTCCTCCTCCTTGTCCTCCTCCTCCTCCTTCTCCTCCTCCTCCTCCTCCGCCTCCTCCCCGTTTTGGTGTTTCATGTGTCTTCAGACCATTCCCCGCCCTGCGCCCGTCGTTCGTCCTCCATGGCCAGACTGCGCCCGCGTGCGCGCCGAGGGGTGCTCTGGCGCCTGCTTGCCAGGATGGCGACGTCGGCAGAGGTTGGGCGGGCCTCCGATTCCCGACGACCGCTTCTTCCAGACGGGTTCCGGCTGCCACTTGCCTCCGTGGAGGGCAGGACGCTCGCTTGTTGAGCAGTCGGGGGTATCCAGTCACGCTGCCTCCCTTCTGCGCTGCCGCCTGGATTCGGGAGGGGAAAAAAAGCGCACAGACACAATGAGTCGCCGATTCCCCAGAAAATATGGGAAAATGTGGGAAGTGGGGGGAAGACGCAAACCCAGAAACTATGGGAATACATGATCCAGGGTCGAGGGTTCACGGCCCCCCCCCCCCCCAGATGGTATGGTCCCAGGATTCCTCGGCCCCCCCCCCCCAGATGGTATGGTCCCAGAGGACGACGACGACGACGATGACGACGACGGCGACGACGGCGACGGCGACGACGGCGACGGCGACGGCGACGACGACGACGACGACGACGGCGACGACGACGACGACGACGACGGCGACGGCGACGACGGCGACGACGACGACGACGACGTCGACGGCTGCGGCGGCGACGACGCCGGCGGCGGCGGCGGCGACGACGATGACGACGACGACGACGATGACGACGACATCCACGACGACGAGGACGACGAGGACGACGAGGACGACGAGGACGACGACGACGACGACGACGGCGACGACGACGACGGCGACGACGACGGCGACGACGACGACGACGACCACGATGATGATGACGACGACGGCTGCGGCGGCGACGACGCCGGCGGCGGCGGCGACGACGATGACGACGATGACGACGGCGACGACGACGATGACGACGACGACGACGACGAGGACGACGAGGACGACGAGGACGACGAGGACGACGAGGACGACGAGGACGACGACGACGACGACGACGCCGACGACGACGACGACGACCTCTGAACCACCACAGCACCACACCACATCCACAGGGGGGGGGGGAGCACCGCAGCCAGCACCACAGCGGGGGGACCATCGCGCGGGGGGGGGGGGGAGGGGCCCAATGGCATCAGCATTTGGGGGGGGGGGCCCAAGCCCTGGACCATATATGGAGGATCCTGTTATTTGTGTCTATTTATTTGTAAGTCCCAGGGCCCCTTCATGGATGCGCCCCCCGCGCGGGCGGGTGCCATGGGGGTCGGGGGAGCGCCTTGGGAGGAGGCTGCTTCCGGGGAGGGGGGAGGGCGGTCTCGTCGCAAGCCCGTCGTGCCTCGAGAATCCTGCTCCTGTTTCCAGGTGCCACCGCTGCTGCCGCTTATTGTTACTGACATTTGCTGCACGTGGAACTAGAACTAGGGTGGGAGTCGCTGCCGTCATCGTGGCTCCTCGCTGCGGCTGCCCGTCCGCAAGCAGGAGAGCAGAGCGAAGCTGTTGCAGGGCGGCGCCCCCGCCCGCGGCGTCATCCGGCAACGTCTCGGTGGACCTCCCCTCGATTAGAGCAGCAGTCGGGCGGTACTGCGGAGACGGCGATGGCCTACGAGCGCCGCAGTCAAGTGCCCCCCAATGCCAGGTCGAGGCTCGTTTCGATTCCTCCGATTCGATTCGATTCGACTTCGATGGCTTCCGATTCCGATTCGATTCGGCTTGGGATTCCGATCTGGGTTCCGATATCTCGCTGGAGGCATATCAGGTTGCCGATGTCTGCCGATTCGACTTTTCCCGACTCGGCTGCCGATTTCCACCGATCTGATTCTTTTCGATCGCCGATCCGACTTATCGATTCGACTGGGCTCTCCACTGCCAGGTCCCTGCAGCATCGAATTACTAGGGATAATTGTTCTCGTGGCCGTGCCGCTGGCAGTATCCGTCGCCGGTTTGAAACGAGCCGCGAAGAGGTGATGGCCGATGCTCAACCCTGAGCCACTTCACCCACCGAGAGCTTCGCTGAAATTTGATGCTTAAGATATGTTATGCCTGGTTCTCCGGACCTCCACTCGCGCGTACTCTGGGGTCCGTGACACGCCGTTGACCTGTCGGGCCAGCGGGCACGGTAGGCACAAACCGCAGGGGGACGAGCGGGGAGAGAGTGGCCATCTGCTGCAGCAGTTGCAGGCCCAGGGGCAGGAGCACCGTCGGGAGCATGACCAGCAGAAACAAGTTTAGGGAGAGAACCTCGTGCTTCCTCCTCCCTCCCTCCTGCGTCCCCCTCTCCTCCCTCCTCATCCTCCCTCCCCATTTCCTTCTCTGGAAGCTTGCGGTGTTCTCCCGAGCTCCGTGGAGGCCCCTGGAGGTCGGTCCCTGGATGTCCCTGCAGGCCCCTGAAAGCTGAGGTCCCTGGAGGCCTGCAGAGACCCAGGCCTCAAGGCCCAGATGCTGCCAATCCTGAAAAGAAACATCTGTCCTCCCCTTCCCTCCAGGGAGGAGAACCACCCGGACCCGACAACTGGCGTTTGCGAGACGGCCCTGGGCGTTTGCGAAGCAGCCCTGTCCTGTTCGATTCCTTCTTGCGGGTGGATTTTTATGCCCTCTATTCCCCCCCTCCTTTCCTCCTCCCAACCGCCCATCGGTCGAGTAGGGGATCGACTACATAATTGATTTACCCAAAAATGATTTGTTCGTCGGATCCATGAGAAGTTCCCAGAAATGTTAGTAGATCTACGATAGTTCTACATCTGACAAGACGAGACGGTCAGTTTTTGGGGTGCATCAATGCTGCAGTCGATCCCCTACTCGAATCGGAGGGGCGCTGGCTGCAGACATTTGCACCGAGGCATCCTGGGCCCAGCGTCGGAGTGCACCTGGGCGCCCTTCTCGCCAAGCTGTAGGAGTCGGCCACGCGCAGAGAGGGGTAGCGGGTTGGGGGGGGGCTTCTTAGAAGCAACCCTGCTTCTCAGAAGGCGCGGGCCTTCTCTATGCAATGTAAGGCCGGCGCCTTCTGAGAAGCAACCCACTTCCTACCCCCGTCTGCGCGCCGCCAACTATAGGAGGGCGTGTGCATCCGAGCCTGAAGCCCGGGACGAACGAACTGGGCACCAAAAGAATGGGTGCGATGCCCAACACCAGGTCCTGTTCATTTTGAACAGGATTCTCTGTTCTCGCCACCGCGGACATGGATCTTTGAAGGCCAAAAGCTTCCTGCCCAACAGCGGCCGCTGTCGTTTTGTTGGACAGGAGGGGCCCGGCCAGGATCGGCGCAGGGGTCCTCCTAACTCACCCCTCCCCTCTCGATCTCGCCGAGACGTGTGCGCCCGCTGCCAGGACTGGGAGGGACTAGAAACGCATAAACATAATTCTTTGGCGCTCCGCCCAGGGATTTCTTGGATCCGCGCTGGGCCCCCCACGTGGCGCCTCTGGCGCCGCCCTTGGCGCACTCCGCGCGCCAGTGAGAGGGGCCCAGCGCGGATCCAAGAAATCCGCGCGGACCTCCACAAGTTTATATGTGTGTGCCGTTATTTTTTCTTCCTCGATCCTTGTGCGAATTGTGCGGGGCTTGTGGCCTCATGCTGAGCAGGCGGCTCGAGCGTCATGCGTTTCGTTTGGCTCCGCTTCCTGATCGGTCTGAGCTTGTCTTAAGTCAGGCATGCCCCTCTACAGGAGGGATCTTCAAGCTTAGTCAAACATAGTCAGGGGACGATATTTTGAAAATTGTTTGCGTCCATTTTTTATGTTTCAGTTTTCTTCCAACTGCGGGAGGACATGTCCGACCTAAATCTTGTCTTACCCCACGCACCTCCACTCCTGGGGACAGGCGTGCGCAGACGGATCACACGAGTCCTTCTGTCGTGACCAAGGGGTAACCCCCTTTAATTCCCTCGCCTCGCGCACCTGCTCCTCCCGTTTCGCGGCTCCCCGCCTTCCACCGCATCTATCAGGCACGAGGGGGTTTAGGCCGGCGCTCAAGGGCTGCTGCTCGCACACTCGAGTGGGCTTCCTCGATGATGTGCCCTTGCCTGTGAGAAACATCATCTCGACTTCATCGGCACCTCCACTCCCGAGAGACGGGTGCGCCACGGGCGCCCGCCGCCCGGCCGCCGCCGCAAGGCGCGCGCCAGCCCCACGCTGGGGCCGCGGCAAAGCCCGGCGCTGTCGCCGGCGGACAGGACGGTTCGCCGCTTCGGGGGCCTTGAGACGGGGGTCACTGCAAACGGGGGTCATCCAGAGCGCACGATCTTGCAGGATCTTGCGGGGCCAGGGACGCATTGACCCTGGTTTGGGTGCAGGATCTTGCAGGATCGTGCAGGATCCTTCACGTTGACCCGGGTTTAGGTGCAGGAATTTGCAAGATTTGCAAGATTCTGCAAGGCCTGACTGACCCAGGTCTGGATTGACCCGGGTCAGAAGATCCCCGACAGGACGGTTCACCGCTGCCGACGACGCAACGATGACGACGAGGTCGTGGTCGTCGTCGTCGTTCGTCGTTCGTCGCCCGTCGTTCGTCGTTCGTCGTTCGTCGTCGTTCGTCGTCGTCGTTCGTCGTCGTCGTCGTCGTCGTCGTCGTCATCGTTGTCGTCGAGGGAGAGGACGAGGGAGATGACGAGGGCGAGGACGAGGACGAGGACGCAGGAGGAGGAGGAGGAGGAGGAGGTGGAGGAGGAGGAGGAGGAGGAGGACGGCCGCGCGTTGACTTCAAAATTTCTCTGCGCCCCTGACATTGGGGAGAGTGTCCCTGACCAGACCAAGAGGGAGGGAGTTCCTCAGTCCCTCGCGGTTGGTTCCTCTCGGTGAGTTATACTTGCCCCCCAGGAAAGGCCGCAGACAGGCCCAGATCGCCACCTCCTCTCCTGCCGGTTAGGGCCTGCCTCCTCCTTTTTGACACCTGGTGATCGGTGATCGCTGCTTGTATAACAATATGCCGGGGGTCTAGTGCCCGGGGGCCTTCCCGCGCCGCTCAAAACAGCTCCGGAGGACACCAGAAGGCGACCAGAGCGGCCTTCCAGGGCCGACGACGCCCGAATATTGTTTCAAGACGGCTCAACAACCCCGAAGACGTTTTGAGAAGGCTTCAAGATGCGCCCCGTGAGGGCCCCAGGGCCCCAGGAGGCCAAAATGTTCCATTCCGATGGGCAAGCATACATGTTCAGCATATTCGCACTTTGAGTCTTAAAGGCGCTTATCACGGCCTCAGAGGCCCAACAGATCGCCCCAGAACGGTCCAAGAGGGCCCCAGGACGGACCAAGAGAGCCCCAAGACAGTCCAAGAGACGCCCAAGACGGCCAAAGAGGGCCCCAAGATGGATCCAAGAGGGGGAATTCCAACTGACGTTTCGAGCCCTCCGCTCTCGGGCCCCTGGGGCCGCCAGCAGGCCCCCAACCAAGGAGGCCCCAAGAGGCCCCCAAACAGCCACCAGTGGCCCCAAGACGTTTCAAAAGTCACTCCACGAGGCGCCCGAGAAGCATGTCAACAGACCCCGAATTGGGCACGACCCGTACGAGGCGTGTTCCGAGATGGGCCAGGTGTCGCCGTGCGAAGCTGCCCGCCACTGGCATAGGTGGAGCTCCTCCTGGGGCCTGATTCGCGTGACGGATGTGCCGAGATGAGCGGGGTGGCGCTGTACGATTTTTGTCTCTGGGCCTGTAGGTGGTGCTCCTTGTGGGCACGATCCGCGTGATGAGGTGTGCCACAGTGGCCAGGGGGGGCCGTAGGTCAAGATCCCTGTAGGCCATGATCCGTGTGAGAGATGTGCCGAAGTAGGCGGGGGGGGGGCTGGATGCGAACCTTGTCTTTGGGGCCGTCTGTGGAACTCCTTGCGGGCCACGATCCGTGTGAGAGGTGTGCCGAAGTGAGCGGGGCGATTCCCTCTGGTGCCGCAAATGCAATTACTTTCGGGGCACGATCCGCGTGAGGGGCGTGCCACTAGTTACGCGAACCTTGTCTCCAGGGACGTAGGTGAAGCTCCCTGTGCGGCGCGATCCCTGTCAGGGGTGTGCCGACATGGGTGGGGGGACGCTGAGCCAAGCCTGTCTCCGGTGGAGCTCCCTGAGGGGCACGATCTGTGTGACAATATACATATATATATATATATACACATATGTGTATATGAGCATGAACTTGCTAGAACCTGAGCGAAAAGCGCGCGCGCGCGTGGTTCTGGATTCTAGATGAGGCCCGACTCGAGGCCCCGGGGCCGGGGGCCCGGGGGCGCGTTGTGCGAAAGCAGGTCGTCGGAGGTCCGGGCCCCTCCTATCCCTCCTCTCTTCCGCGAGGGCCGCGGCAGGCAGAGGGCCGCAGCGGGCGGCAGCCGGGCGAGGACGACGACGGGCACGACGGGGCCCCACGACACAGCGGGGGGGACAACGGCGCCAGCGACACCGCGACGAGGGGCGACGAGGGCCCTCAGCTCTGACGCCGCAGAAGGGCTGCAGCACCTCCGAAGAGAACCCCTGGGGCCCAGGGCCCCGCCTTCCCCCGCCATCGTCCGCGCCGCGTCGGCCTGAGAGGGCCCCAAGGGCCCCAGACCCGGCGAACACGCCGGGCTCGAAAGCCTCGAGACGCCAGGACCTCGGGGGACGAGGACGGCGACGAGGAGGGCGACCACCGCCGCCGGCGACGACGAGGTTCTCGTCGCCGCCGCCGCCGCCGTCGTCGTCTTCGTCGTCGTCCTCGTCGTCGTCCTCGTCCTCGGCGGCGACGACGAGTTCTCGTCGCCGCCGCCGTCGGTGGTCGCCCTCCTCGTCGCCGCCGTCGTCGTCGTCGTCGTCGTCGTCGTCCACGTCGTCGTCCTCGTCCTCGTCCTCGTCCTCGTCCTCGTCGTCGGCCTTGTCGTCGTCGTCGTCGTCGTCGTCGCCGTCACCGTCGCCGCCGCCACCGCTGGCGGCCGGCCGCCCCCGCAGGAGGAGCCCTCCGCGCCCCGGCGCGGGGCCGCCCGCGCAGGGCTCCGAGCCGGGGCGCGCGGCGCCCCCGGCTGGGCTTCGGAGGCTCGGGGGCGGCCGCGTCGTCGTCGTCGTCGTCGTCGCTCGTCGCTCGTCGTCGTCGTCGTCGCTCGTCGTCGTCGTCGTCGTCGCTCGTCGCTCGTCGCTCGTCGGGCGTCATCGTCGTCGTCGCTCGTCGGGTCGTCGCTCGGGGGGGACTGCTCGGGGTGGGGACTGCAGTCAACCCGCACAGTAAGGATGGGCAACCTTTCTGACTGTACCATCCTTGCCCCTTCGGCTCATCCTTGGCCGCTTTCGCTGGCCAACCTAGGTCGAGTAGCGTTCACATTGGTCTCCGAGGCCCATGCACCCTTACCGCGCATCCTTATGACACGGGTTGATTGTACTCGGGAGGGGGCATTTAGCCGAAGAAGAAGACGAAGAACAAGACAAAACGCCACGAGCATAAACTGTTGGCGCTCCGCGCGGATTTCTTGGATCCGCGCTGGATCCCCCCGGCGGTACCTCCAGCGCCGCCCCTGGCGCGCTCCGCGCGCCAGGGAGGGGGGGTGCGGCGCAGATCCACGAAATTCGCACGGAACGCCAAAAGTTTATGTTTATGGCATTTTTTAAGAAATCGGCAAGGGTGGGGTGGTTGTCCTCCCGACGGAGCTTGCCCCCCCCCCCTCCTTCCCTCCTCCTCCTGCCCGTGCTCCTCCTCCTCCTTCCCCCTCATCCTGCCCCCTTGTCCTCCTCTTCCCCCCCCCCCCACACCCGTTCCCACAGCACGTGCCTCCTCTTCCCCTCCGCCTCCGATTCCTCCACCCCCTACTCCCTCCACCCGCTCCGACAGCATCATGCGCCCACCCCCCCCCTCCGCGGATCCAGGGGGGGTCGACTATTGCCCCATCCAGTCATGGCCGGCGCCAGGGTCTTTCCCCAAATTTCATTGGTTTTCTTTTTGTTTCAGTGCGATCTCTCATGGACTCTATAGGCCGCCTGGATGAGGTCGGAGTAGATGGGGTCGAAGGTTCGCGCCGCATCGCTGATGCATCGGCGAAGCGGCTCGATGATGGGCAGCCCGACTTGCTTCACGTCGACGTCGCCGATGCATCGCTGACGCCGACGATGCATCGCCTGTGCGTCGCCGGTGCATCCCCAATGCATCGCTGATGCATCGCCGATGCATCGGCGATGCGGCGCGATCCTCCGACCCCATCTACTTCGAAGAGGGAAAAACGACATAAGCATAAACTGTTGGCGCTCCGCGCGGATTTCTTGGATCCGCGCTGGGCCCTCACGGCGGCGCCTCCGGTGCCGCCCCTGGCGCGCTCCACGCGCCAGGAAGGGGAGTGCGGCGCAGATCCAAGAAATCCGCGTGGAGCGCCAAGAGTTTATGTTTATGGCGTTTTTCCTCCGTCTTCTGCTCCGACCCCCCATTCAGGAGGCCTCTGTGGACGTACGCACGGCCCCACCGACCACGATCTGCGAAAGTCCCCCTCCTGGCCGCCGCCCTCCCTGGCCGCCCCCGAGACCCGAGAGGTGGAGACCGCGACGCACGCGCCCGTGGAGGCGCCCGGCGCCCGCCCCCCCGCGGGCGCGAGGGGGCGGGCACCCAGACGTGGCCGAATCTTGAGGATCGAAGTGGGCACGGAAAGCTCGGGCCTAGCCCTAGGGCCTACCTACCCCTAGGGCCTACCCCTAGGGCCTACCCTAGGGCTACCCCCAGAGCCTTCAGCAGGCCCTACACTTGGCAAGCCCAGGGCCTTCAGTAGGCCCTATCCCAGGCAAGCGCGTGGGCGCGGGAGTGGGCGTGGGCGCGGGAGTGGGCGTGGGCGTGGGCGCGGTCTTGGGCGTCGGCGTGGGCGTCGGCGTCGGCGTCGGCGTGGGCGTGGGTGTGGGCGTGGGTGTGGGCGCGGGTGTGGGCAAGGGCATGCGTGTGAGCGTGGGCGTGGGCGTGGGCGCGGGCGTAGACGTTGGGCGTGGGCGTAGACGTTGGGCGTGAATGTCGGCGTGGGTGTGGGCGTCGGCGCTGCCAGCCGCAACCGCCGCCGCCGCCAGCGCGCCGAGGCCGGCGCGGGGGGGGGGAGAGGGGTTTGAACCCCCCCTCTGCGTCCTGCGCCGGAGGGCGGGGGGGGGCTCGGGGAGGAGGGGGGGGGGGAGGGGGGAGGGAAGTCCCCCTGGTTCTGTTCGACGGCGCCGAATGTACGCGCCGCCGAATGTCCCCAAGGCGAGCGACCGTGAAACGCGCTCCCTCTATCGTGAGGGCACCCTCTGAGAATACCGCTATTCTTGTATATATATAGATATATGTACATACATACCTACCTACCTACCTACCTACCTACCTACCTACCTACCTACCTACCTACCTACCTACCTACCTACATACATACATACATACATACATACATACATACATACATACATACATACATACATACATACATATATACACATATACATATACATATACATATACATATTCATATACATATACATATACATATACATATACATATACATATATTTTCACATGCACACATATATATATGTTGTGTGTGTGTGTGTTTTGCTAAGGCCTTGCGGCTGGTACCGCCGACCTTGAAGGCCTCGGCCCTCGATGGAACTGGGAGGTTGAGGGCGGGCCAATGGGCCCCGGGACCACCCCCTGGGGCCCCCCCCTGGGACCTCCGCATGGGAGGGAGAGGGCGGGCCGTGGGCCCCGGGAGGGTGGCACTCTGACCCGGGGCAACCCCCTGATGGGGCCTCCCCCCGGGAACCCCCCCCTGGGTCCCTTCCCCCCCTCCGCGGAGCAGGGATCAAAGGGAAGGGGCTTCCCTTCGACTCAATGACAGCGTCGCTTAATTTCGCTGTGGATGGGCTGGTGTATTTCGCTGTGGCTAGCGTGCTTGAGGACGAGGGCCCAAGGAAAGGGGGGGGGGAGCGGCGGACACCGTCGGAAAATGCAGCTATTCTTTACATGTTCCGATGTTTCGGGAGACAGGCGCACCTCCTCCTCCTCCTGCTCCTTCTCGTCCTCAACGCCGCCCAGAGAGAACGGGCCAGACAGAGAAACCCGTGAGAACACAGAGATTGCATTATGTATGAAGGTGTTGGTAAGGACATCTGAGAAACAACGCATATGTTCTTGGTATGTTTGAGGTTGTCCCGAGGATACCCTGAGGAAACACACATAATTACTTGTCACATGGTTGGATGTTTTCGTAAGGAAGCTCGGGTTTTCTGTGGACGGGCGCCCCTCCCTCCTGCTGCTCTCCCAACGTCCTTGCAGCGCGCCCTCATCGAGAACAGCATTCAAATATCATGAGTGTCTGTGTCTTCGCTGGGCTTCCTCACGAACATCTTCCAACCCATCAGGCATGTTTGTGTTTTCAGAGGGCTTCCTCACCAAATATTGTGAACATGCCAGGAGTGTCTGTGTTCTTCACAGGCTTTGCCTACGCCGCTCATCCTTCTTCTCCTCCTCCTCCTCCTCCTCCCTGCCTCGTGCTGCTCCTGCTCCTGCGTGGCGTGCTCCTGCTCTCTCTTTCTCCCCCTCCTGGATTTTGAACATGCTTCGTTCCTTTGTTAATATATGAGGAGAAGCCCATTAAATTTCAAAGGGCATCCTCTAGATCCTTTTTGTTGTTTGAGGTCCGATCAGAAACTTATTCAACTTTCCTCAGACTTCTTTGGAACTGGGATCTGCTCCAGTTCTGTGGAGTTCCGATATGAGGCCCTATTCAAATCTAGATCGGAAGCCCCCGGATCCGGGATCTGCCTTCTCCTATGGCAGTCTTTGTTCTCCCCCTTCTCCCCCCCCCCTCGGACGGATCACCGAGAACCTCCAGGACACCCTCAAACCTGTTCTTTTCGTGAGGAGGCCGCCTGCTTGCACTGGAGACCCACTCCCCCTGGGCCAAGATGTCCGTAATAGCTCTGCCCGCAGTTCTCCCCCCTCCCTTCTCCCCCCCCCTCCCCCCTGCCGCCCACCAAGAGGTGCGAGCTGGCTGGCTCCGTAGCCATCTTGGCCCACGGCCTGGGGAGGGCACGGCACGCATCGCGCGCGCGCGGTGCGCGGGCCCTCCGCCAAGCCGCTGCCCCGGAGCCGCCGATGGGCCGCCTCCCCTCGAGTCTGCTGCTGGGGCTGCTGGCGCTGCTGGCGCTGGCGCCCGTGGGCCTCCTCGTCACCCTAGAGGAGGCGCCGCCCGAGGCCCCGCCAGGGCTGGCCGAGCGGGAGCCTCTCCCGCTCCTCCTCCTCCTCCGCCTCCTCCGCCTCCTCCTCTCCTCCTCCTCCTTTTCCTCCTCCTCCTCCTCCTCCTCCTCCTCCTCCTCCTCCTCCCTCCACCTCCTCCCCCTCCTCTCCTCCTCCTCCTCCCCCCTCCTTCTCCTCCCTCCTCCTCCTCCTCCGCCTCCTCCTCCTCCTCCTCCTTCCGCTCCCCCTCCCCGAAGGAGGGCCGCGCGGGCGCCGCCCTGGCGATCGTCGTGCCTGGCGGCGGGCTCACCCTGGAGGGCCTGCCAGCGCCGTGGGTGCGCCCGCGCCTGTCGGAGGCCGCCAGGCTCTACGCGGAGAGGCAGGCGAGCCACGAGCCTGCGGTGGTCGTCACCCTGTCCGCGGGCACCCCGCACAAGCCCATGCCAGTGAACGCCAGGTCTCAGAGGAGGAAAGGGTACCCACACCTCTAATTACCCTTTCCTCGTCTTCCATCGCCACAGCTGCATTCGCCTCGACATCCTGGTCAGAAGGCACCCTGGTAGAGGTCCGGGGAGTGGCGGCATCGGTACCTTTTGGTGGTTTCCCCGAGGTCGGGGTTCCAGGTGTACGAGGCGGAGGCCAGCGCCAGGCTGCTCATCCGGGAGCTCGGCGTGCGGCCCGAGGACGTGTTCGAGGAGGACTGGAGCCTGGACACGGTCGGGAACGCCTACATGCTCAGGGCCATGCACACCGAGGTGGCGGGCTGGCGGGACATCTGCGTGGTGACCAACGAGTTCCACATGCCGCGGACGAGGGCGATCTTCGAGAAGGTGTTCGCGCTGGCGCCGGTGCCCGCGCTCGGGCACTACAACCTGACCTTCGTGGAGGTGCCAAACGACGGCGTGCCGGCCGACGCCCTCGCCGCCCGCAAGGCGAGGGAGTCCCAGTCTCTGGCCGGCTTCTGGAACAACACCGCCAGAATGCAGTCCATGCGCGACATCCACAGGTTCCTTTTCCAGAAGCACATGGCCTACGCCTCCTCGAGGCTCCTGAAGGACCGTGAGCCGGTCGACCCAAGTGCCCTCAGCACGTACTGACCCACCGCGGTGGCAGGAGCCAGGGGGGGCGCACGCTTTGCACGGACGGTCAAAGCATCAAAATCTGCAGGCTGGTTGGCCTAGGAGGCCACCTGTCATCTCCCACCGATGCCCCAGGGTTGGAAAGTCCAGGTTTTGTTAGGGATTGGAACTTTTCCGAAGACCTCCGAAGACGACCGAAACCTGTCCGAAACCCTCCGAAAACCCTACTGTACACGAAGGGTTCCGGGAGGCGTTTCGGAGGGTTGCGGGAGGGTTTCATAAGGGTTTGGGTCGTTTCGGGGGGAGACCAGCCCCAAGCGAACCCTGGTCTGTTTAACCCCTAGGGCACCTCCAGGGGCGCGAAGATGATCGCGCTATGCGGGGCGCGGCCTGGGCTGGAGGCTGGAGAGCCGCACTTCTCCAGGGCGGCCCCGCGAGAGCGCGAAGAGAAACCGCGCGTCGTGGGGCGCAGTGCGCGAATATAAGTGAACTAGATATCCCCAACACAGGGTCTAGTGTCGCCAGGCTCCTGCCAGGTCCCACGCCCAGGAGATGGGCAGATAAATATATAAAGATACATACATACATATATAGAGAAAGAGAGAGACAGAGAGAAAGAAAGAAAGAGAGAGAGAGAGAGAGAGAGAGCACGCTTTCACGAAACTGCCATCGTCCGCCGGCGTCCCTCGCCCACCTTTCGCCCCCTCGACCCCACGAGAGGAGGAGAAGGAGGAGAATGAGGAGGAGGAGTCAGTATGGGGAGGAGGGGGAGGAGGGGGAGGAGGAGGAGGAGGAGGAGGAGGAGGAAGAGGAGGAGGAGGAGGAGGAGCAAGAGGAGGAGGAGGCGGCGGAGGAGAGGAGTGGGTGGATGAGGAGGAGTGGGAGGAGCATGGGGGAGGAGAAGGGCGAGGAGCTGGAGGAGGAGGTCGACGGTGACCGCCACCGCGACGCCGACGACCATCATCGCGACGGCGGCGGTGGCGACGGCGACGACGGCGAGTGTATCAGGGCCGAGGTGCCGCTCTGTGGGAGCTGAAGGAAGAGAAGGGACGCTTCGTTGTCGCCGCTGTCGTCGCCGCCGCCGTCGTCGCTGTCGTCGTCATCGTCGTCGTCCGTCGTCGTCGTCGTCCTCGTCGTTGTCGTCGTCGTCGTCGCCGTCTTCGTTCGCGTCGTCGCCTGAGTCCTCCGTGCCGAAGCGCTGCAATGCCATTGCCTGCGGCCCTGGACGAGGAGGAGGAGGGCGAGGAGGGCGAGGCGTCGTCGTCGTCCTCCACGTTCGGGTCGCCGCCTCAGTTCACCGTGCCGATCTGCCGCGGCGGTGGCATTGCCCGCGGCCCTCCGAGGAGGAGGAGACTGAGGAAGGGGAGGAGGGCGAGGAAGGAGCAGCTTCGAGGATCAGTGGCGCTGTCGTCGTCATCATCGGCGTCGTCCGTGGTCGTCGTCGTCGTCGTCGTCGTCGTCGTCGTCGTCGTCATGTCGTCATCGTAACCGCCGTCGCCGGGTTCCCTCGAGGTGCCGCTGTGGCTCTGCCCGCAGCTGTCCTTCCACACCTACCCCGCTGGGGCGCGCCCCGGCGACCTGAACGCCGCGCTGCGGTCGGGCCAGGCGTGGGGACGTGGGGATAAGCGTCGGCCCCGCCTCGAGTGGCACCTCAGACGGCCGGTCGTCGCTGCCGTTCTCCGACGGTTTCGTGGTCCTGATCGTGGGGCCCGATGATGATGGTGATGGTCGTGATGCTGATTCTGATGATGGCGATGATGATTCTAGGCCCATCAGATGGGGTCCAAGCAGGTGGGCTCGAAGAATCGCTCTGCATCGTCGATGCATCGACGATGCGGCTCGATGTGGAGCAAAGGTTTCTGCACGCCGACTGCGCCGATGCATCGCCGACGTCGCCGATGCATCGACGACGACGCATGGGCGATGCGGCGCGATCCTCCGACCGCATCTGTTCGAATCCCATCCAGGAATCCTAAAATGATGGTGGTGGTGCTGATTGGTATACTTGTGATGGAGCTGGTGTTGGTGGTGATGGTTGTGGTGGTGGTGATGACGGGGTGGATGAGGGGGCAGTATGGGAGTGGAGGATGATCGCCTCCTCCTCGGTCGGATCAATGGAAGCATGGATCACGGAAGGTGGATTATCGACTGTTCCCATGTAGGGTTCGTACCACGACTTGTATTGTGAATACGCACGTCGGGCATCTCGATTGAATCGCGAGCGTTGTTTTTTGTTTCTCAATGTGGCGGAGGAGGAGGAGGCGGGTGAGGGATGCGAAGAGGGCGAGAGGTGAGGAGGAGGAGGAGGAACATGAAAATGAAGGTGAGGATGATCAGGAGGAGGATGACGAGGATCAGCTGGAGCAGGAGGAGGAGGGGAGACGAGGAGGAGGTGGACGAGTCGAATCTACGGGGCCAGCCCTGCCTCTCTTCACGGATCACAAGGTGCCGACCCTCGTCTCTCGTGGGGCCCAAAAAGGCGAGCTCCGTCCTGGGAGCGGGTGGGTTGGCGGGTGGGGCCCCTCGGAGCTTCTGGCCAGAATTGGATTGACCCAAGAGACGCTAGACGAATGGGCGCTACGGCTCGCAGCGTCGCGTCGCCAGGAGAGAAAATTGGCGGAGCGCTCGGATTCGGACCTCCGGCACCTGTATGCTCTTTTGTTATGTTTCGATATTGCTTGTTCTAGGTTCGTGCGGCATCGACGCACGGTCCATTCCAGCGAAGCGAAGCGAAGGAGGAGGAGGAGGAGGAGGAGGAGGAGGCGGATGAGGAGGAGGAGGAGGAGGAGGAGGAGGAGTGGGGGAGGAGGGGGATGAGGAGGAGGAAGATAAGGATGAGGAGGAGAAGGAGGAGGAGGAAGAACAGGGGGACGAGGAGGAGGAGGAGGAAGAGGAGGAAGAGGCGTCCGTAGCCTGTTTGGCTCAAGACATTTTGGCTCGAGGCTTTTTAGAACCTGATCGGGCTCTGAAAAGGAACCGAGAACCCCGCAGCATCTGCTGAGGACCCCGCGCCCATCAGCCAATTGTCCGTGAGATCTTGCTGGGGCAGCATCACGCGCGACCATCACTTTGCGACAGTTGAGTGCCCTCCGCCTATGGGGCGAAAGTGACGCTCTTGGGATGTCTGGTCCACATTCGCCGATGATAAGTATGACAAAGGAACTGGGTGGACGTGCGTTTTTTGCGGGTGCGCGAAAAACGAAGACTGGTGGCAGTGGTGCAAGCAATTCAAAGGACCGCGCAAACACATCCAGGCCCGTGGTGGAACCCCGAAGCCGCCTGGCATCTGGGGGGAGGGACAATCGAAGGCTACCATCTTTCTCGGACGGCCTTGTTTCCCTGGCAGCGCTGATGTCCTTCATGTGGGGCTTCAGTTGCATCAGAGTGGATGGCTTGACCTTCGCGGCCCCTCGACATGCGGTACCGCCACCTACATTGTCCAGCAGCGCCCCTCGTTGCGAGAGACACACGCCAACATGTTGCGCCTTGGGGGCAGTGAAAGTGCAAGGATCCATGAGGGGCCCATCCGTGAGGTCGAGCGCCTCTCCGCTCCCGCGCCGTTTCCCGCCACAGGTGCCGCCAAACATGAGGTGGACCAGCTCAAAGATCAGCTGGACAAGGCCGTGGGTCAAGCTGAAGAGCTAAAGCCCTCGAAGAGCAACTCGCGCAAGCGCAGGAGTCTGCAGAGACGCACGCCACGAACGTCCGTCGCCTTGCTGCTGAGGTCACGCCATCGCCTGCTCCGGCAAGCAATACCCCAAATAGCAGCCTTGAACCTATGCTGCCAGGAAATGACATCGAGTTCGACGGCAACGGCCTTTTTCAATTCCAGGGCCTCGACGGAGTGGAAGCTTCTACAGAAGACCAGCGAGAGGTGGACAGGCAGAAGGCAGGACTATTCAAGGTGGGCCATACCGCTACCCGAGATGCATTCGCAGCCCCCAAGGAGAAGTGCAACGGCATGGTCGAGGAGAAGAACGCATGCAAGCCAAGAGGCGCTTCAGAGATGAAGGCAGTCAACCAGCTGAGCCACGACAGGGGCCGTCTGAAGGCGCAGCCCCACTTGCTGATGTTCACCAGCCTCTTCTTCCTTCTCCTCCTGAAGCGGTTGCCTGCTGAAGCTCCCGCGGCCCCCGGGCCCGCTTCTGCTGGATCTGCCAGCAAACTTGCACAAAGAGAAACCGCGACAGCCGCGCATCCCGAAGGAGAATCCCGCCGAGATGCGCGCCAGAAGGCGAAGGACACCGCCACGACGTCGGCGCCGAAGGTTGCGGGAACACGTGACTTTGATGACGCTGCTGGCGGCGAGCAGGGCGTTTAGCACCAATGAAAAGTACAGACGCCAGCCTCAGCGCCAACCGCCTGAACATCAACCCATAACACGAGCACTTCGGCCCCCAACGGATTTTGCCACCACCGTGGGCTACCAGTCAGAGTTCGCAGGTGCGCACAACCAGCAGGCCGACCCCGTCCAGGACCCGACTGACCAGGCTGGCTGCAACGGGAGCGGCCGCTGCTTGATTGATCTCGCCGTAGTGTTCGAGGCCGCAGTCCAGGAACCCATATCGAAGCAGTCACAACGCAGAGAGTTGTCACCTGAGGACGCCACGTGGCCATTTCAGAATTGGAAACATGTGCTGCTTGATTTTAGTGCCAGTACCCTCACCAGCCCTGCGTGGTCAACCCGTTGGAGGCTTGGCCATTTCTGGCGAGCACATCAACGGGGACGAATTTTGTTGCCCGACACCTCCTCCGACGCCACCCGGGCAGGCTACCGCCTGAGGCCAGGGTCAGAGGAAACCTCTCCGCACGCTTTTTGCCGCTGTCACTTGCAACATGAACTTCTGGATCCTCCCTTCCCCCGCCCAGAACTCGGACATTGGGTCCATTCAGGAACACAGCCCCCCAAGTCAAAACAAGTGCCAGGACAGCCAGAATCAGTTTCGAGGACCAGATGGGCGCGTCTTTGGGGCGCCTGCCATCGCGCGAGCGAGTGGGAAGGCTTCTGGGGCGCCATGGATCTTGCGAAGGGCCACCTCGAGGCTAGGAGCAACAATCCTGAAGTTGTTCCTGGGCGCATGTCGGGTTGTTCCGTTCAACGGAAGTCCTGGGCCCCCCAGGCGGCGCGCTCTAGATAGTTCCACAAACCTGAAGGCATGCCCCCCAGGAGCATCGAGATCATGAACAGGTGCAGCCAGGAGGTTGCCACCAGAATTGGCCCGTGCATCTTTGGATCCGATATCAACATGTCGATTGCCGCTGTTCCCATGGGCTTCCCGCTGCAGCCGCTTGCGTCAGTGCAGTTGACGATGGGCCAGTGGAGAGCGCGATGGATCTGTTGATTGCGCGCAGAGGCCTCGAAGCTATATGCGATGTGCTCACTGACCTTTCTGTCGATCGCAGGCCCCGCGCCCCGGACCGCCCTCATCCCTAAGCAGAATTAGCATGTCCACAACCCGCGATGATCGGCCCGCATCCTTCCCCGCCCGGCCATGGTCCGACGTTCGATCGCCCCGTGCCCTCGTTCGCCGGCGTCGCTGGAGCAGACGATAAGCATGGCGCTCTTGCAGGGCCGCACATAGGCGGAGCAGTTCAGTCACCTGATCGCACGTCTTCTGGCTTGGAGCGACCAGGCTTGGAGCGAGCCCCCCCGAATCAGACCCGCACGGCGCGCCTGCCGGTCGCCCCGCGTTGATTGCAAAGGTTGGAGCGGCTGCTGCCAATATGCCATTAAGAACAATGGTTTCGAGCGAGCCTGCAAGTTCTTTCAAGGGGATACCGTGCCAGCGCGTGACCCCAGGGCCCAACGGCGACCTGGCGGACGACCAGAGTTCCAATGTCATCCAGTCTCTCTTTGGCCCGCAGGATCCAAGGCCAACGTGGGGTCTGGGCTAGGGTTTGGGAGCCTTCCTGCTCCGTCCAGTGCCCGAGTGCAGATGCGCCTCCAGGTCTTACCTGTCGGAGCTAGAAGGAGCGTCGAGTGGGCCCGCAACCAGTCCAAGGGTTTCGAAGTCGCCGCGCGCGTGCCATTTGGCGGTTGACACACTGGTCATTTTTTTGGTATTTGTTTCGCCGGGCGCCGAGCTGAGTATCGCGCATCATATCCACGACGTTTCAGCTCGTGCAGATCACGCGCAGAGCGTCAGTGCAGACGGGTCGGCCCGTCATTCTTCTTGCCCAGAAACCTGCGCCAGAAGCTGAGCGCCCCCCCGGTCGCTGCCCGGGTCTAGTCGCGCTTCTGGAAAGCAGCAAGAACGGTTCTGCCAGCGACTGGGCTTCAGCATTGCCCCGATGGGCATTTCTCAACTGCGCCCAAGAGGTTCCCTGCTGACCGCGTGGAGGCAAAGCGTGTTCTCGGAGTTGGCAGGTCTGTCAGGGGGCCTCTCTTTGCAGGTTCTGTTGGGCATGGGGCGCCTCTACTAGCGCGTGTCCTACGACCTGTAGATCAAAGCGCGGCAGTTCCGTCAAAACCCAGGACCTCATTTTTCGGCCTGTCGACCTACGAGTGGCCCCGACACCTGCTGCTGGGCGGCCGCGAGGACCAGGCGCCTTCCCCGTGGCGAGGCATTGTTGCTGGATCCACACTGGCCACTGGCGATGCCGAGGTTGTCCTCGAGCCTGGTGCGGGCTGATTTTCAGAGGAAATGTACAGCGCCCCCTCCTTCGCCCTTCGCGCTGACGACCTCGTGTTGATGCGGCGGGGCGATCAGATGTTCGCAGGTGCCAGTGGTCTCGAAGACATTGCAGCTGCAGCCCACCGCCGTTTAACCCGGGACCTCAAGCCCCCCTCCCGGCCTAGTCGAAGTTTGGTTCAGCAGCCTCCCGTTGGCCCCTCCTCCATGTTGCTTGTCAGACCGCGTGGGGTCTCGGATAACATCGGCCCCCAACAGGTGTTGTTATTCATAGTGGGATTGGCTACCTTGGAGGGGGACACAGGCTTAGACTTGGTGCAAGCCGCAAGCGGCATGAGCGCGCTCGCGCATACACTGCCAAGAGGGCCCGCGTCAAACGCGTGAAGCTGAAAGCAGGGCATCGTCCAAGGCTGTTTCAAACGAGCCCGGCGCCCACCCTCGCCTACGGAACCGAGGCCCGCGCCCTCAGCCCCCACCAGATCAGGCAGGTGTGGTCGTGATGCAGGTGTCGCGTTCAGAAGCAGCTAGAGTGGGCTTGGGGTCTCAGCGGCGTTTCTGACCCCATCGACATTGCGGCAAGAACAGTTGGCAGGATGGCGGCAGAGCGGTGGATGACGACGCCAGCTAGCCCAGCCGAAGTTGCGCACCATGATGCCCTGACATCTATAAACCTGCCCAGAGCTCGCAATGCTGCTTTGGAACATGTTCCACATTCCATGGACAAGAGCTGGTTTCTTAGGGCCCGCGGATCGATGTGCGATCTTTTTCTCTGGGCTCAAAGGGCCCGCCGGGCCGTCCAGGGGCCCGGGGTCCTGATTGGCCTTTTTGTTTTTTTTCAGGAGGGAAAGAAACGCACAGACATAATTCATCATCGGCCCCCAGGAAAATATGGGACAATATGGGAAGTGGGGGGAGGACGACAACCCAGAAAATGAGAAAGCATGGGGAATCCTGCTATTTGTGTATATTCAAGTGTGCGTGTGTGTCCTTTGGCCCCTTCATTGTTTCCTACATTTAACTGAAGCTTCGCCCCTGCTCGCTGCCAGGGAGTTTTCGGACCGATCCAGAAGACTTGCACGTGCAGGAGCATGCGCGAGATAGCTGGAGCAGGACCGCACGTGGCGCGGCCGACCTCGAGGCCAGTGGCCTGCGGCGGGGGCTCTCGCGGCAGCTACTCGCGCCCCGGAAGGTTGAGCTAAGCCAGCTCGAGAAGGTCAGGTTTCGTTGATTTTTCCGCGGGGCCTTTCCCACGGGCACCGCGCTCAAGACATTGGGACATGATGTTTCATGTGTTTGAGGTCGCTGCGGGGAGGAAGACGCCCCATGGCACAGAGTGTGGAAGTGTAGCTGCCCCCGAGCCTGTGCTGCCAGGGGAAATGTCTTTCCCCCTGATTTGATCAGAGCTTCCCTCAAATATGGGCCTGCCTCCTGGCTGTGCAGTAGAGGGTGGCTGGTTCGTCTTGACGGCAGTGCCAAAGCTCCCGACAGTGATTGACAGGTGACGTTTTTCGGACCTGACGGTCGCGAGGTTTTTCCTTTTGAGCTCCACCGAGGTGCTCAACTTATCATTCGCGGTTCATCTCTTTTTCCTCACCTTATCCACTTCTCCCGTGGAGGGGTCAGCGTGGCCCAGGTGGGGGACAGGAGAACTTGTCCGTGGGCTTCGAAGCCCGCTGCCAAGAGTGATGATTCATAGCAGTGGAATCGCTGAGCACGGTGCGGTCCTCCTTGGATGCGTGTACAGCGAAGACAATTGTGCCTCTGGATGCCTCTACGTTTATTGCGCCCTGCTGTTGACAGCGCCCGTTTCTATTTCCTTGGCTCTGTCGGGGGGTCGCCAAGTTTATCCCTGGAGGCCCCTCTTTGCTCGTGCAAGTTAAAGGGCATCAGCAAGAAGACGAGTTGCCCACTGAAGAGCTCAAGATTCTCTGCATGGGGAATCCGTCTAGCTGACTACTATGCTGGCCGAGTTGCCCAGTTTCACGGCTACAGTAACGATTTGCATGCTAGGACCACATGCACTACCACGATGCACCTGCCAAATTGATGGTGTTGGAAAAGTGCTTGGGGAGTGGCCTAGTTTCGGTGAGCTTGGGGAGCTGGGTCGGTGCCGGGCGGCTTGTAAGCGCCGTCCCCCCAAGCACTGTTGACCCCATTGTCTGGCATGACGGCAAGCGTCGATGTAACAGTTGTTTTCGTGACATGGGGCCCAAAGTGGTATCCAGCTCTGATTGTGCAGGTCTGAGTCCGTCGCTCGACAGTTTTCCCCCAAAACCGGCCCCAGGAACCACCACACACTTTACGTTGGGTGGGTCGAGAGCTCAGGGCTCTTTGTGGTGCATTGCACCAGCTGTGGTGCGTTCGCTGCCTGCAAAGCGGGCCCGAAGCTCAGAGGTCCTTTCAACAGGAGAGTTTCAGCTGAAAACAAGACGCTCAAGAGCAGACTCTTGTTTGGGACTGAGCTCTCTATTACCAACTGAACTGCCCTCCCACCCTCAGGCCGTGAACTGCGAGCGGTGAGGAGGTCGATGTCAGTTGTTGCCAGCAGTGTGCTGTGCTTGCAGGGTACACTGCCCACCGAGTAACCCAGTAACCCAGGAGGAAGAGGCGCTCCCCCCCCGCCAGCGGCAGAGTCTGTCCGCCCCCCCCCCGCGTTCACCCCCAAGGCGGTGGGCGGCAGGCGGAAGTTGGTCATGAGCCGTGGGGGCCTCGGCGACTGGCAGGGAGCACGGCGGGGCCGAGGGAGGGAGGGAGGGAGGGAGGGAGGGAGGGAGGAATGGAGGGAGAAGGGAGGAGGGAGGGGAGAGAAGAGGGGACGGAGGACTTTTTGGACTCAGCCCAGTGTTACACCGATTGTGTGCCGTGGGGAGGGAGGAGAGAGGAGAGGGGAGGGAGAACGGAGGAGGGAAGAGCGAGGAGGGGGGGCAAAGGGAAGGAGAAAGGAGGCAGAGAGTCCAGGCCTCCCAGATGGGGTCTGAGTAGCTGGGGTCGGCGGATCGCGCCGCATCGCCGCTGCATCTCCGATGCGGCTCGATGTGGAGCCTGAGTCTCTCCACGCCGGCGGCGCCGATGCGACGCCGACGTCGTCGATGCACCACCTGGTGATGGGGGACGAGGAAGACAGGATCGAGGCACAAACAACCGCACGGACATAGAATCAGCCATGATAGTAAGGATGGGGCAATTTTCCAAGGTTACCCTTGCATCCTTGCCCCTTCGGTACTCGGCATCCTTCGGCAATCTGCTGCGCTCCGCACGGAAAACGTCAACATGGCGTTCCAAGGCCCTTGCATCCCTGCCGCGCATCCTTACTATCCTGGTCGAGTGTAGACGTTCCACGGTACACGCGGGTTTCTGAGACCTGCGCCTGGGCAGCCCCCAGCTGCGCCTCGAGCGCCGGCCCCGGCGCGCCCCGTGCGCCAGGGTGGGGGGTCCAGCGTTCTTCTCTCAAGCAGTGGCGAAGCGTCCTGGCTCGCCTATAGGCCTACCAAAGAATGTTCTCAGAAACTTTAGTGGTTTCCGCGAAATGTTCTTAGAACATTTCTGGCTGGGACTGTCTCGTTTTAACGCATCGGGTTTATGTTCTAAGAACATTGGTTTTGTTATTCGAACATTTTTGGGTTCTAAGAACATTTCGAGGTAGGCTTACAGGAATGCGGGGACGATCGGCCCCTGTTCAATTCTCAGGTATACATAGGAGGCCCATGCCAAGAAGCACCCTGCTTGCCTTCGGGGTGCCCTGGGTTTCTTGGGTTTCGGTGGTTTTGCTATGGATGGCGTCACGGTCCCACACCAAAAATGGATGGACGTCCTGGGGTCTCAGGGTTGGGTTTCTTGCGGGAGGTTTCTTGTGGTCGGGCCTCCACTGTAAGGAACGTTTTGGGACTGCAGCAGGCGGGCGCCCACAGCATGCCACTTGTTCGGGCGGGAAGGCGCTCGCAGGCGTCCGCCTGCAAGCGACCGCGCTGTGCAGATGTGCAGGTGACCGGTGTGTTTCTTTGCGAGCGGGGAGAGAGGAGGGAGGAAGGGAGGAGAGAGGAGAGAGGGCGGAGGGAGGAAAGGAGGAACGAGCGGGCCCTCGAGCGATATGTCAATACACGTGCCTTCTATGATGGGGTACATGTCCTGGCGTCGCTCGGACGTGTGCATGTTTTCTCGGCGAGGACCATCGAGGAGCATCCTGGATCATCGCACAAAACAAACACGCACGACACCGAAACATGCAGGGGGAAAGGACGTCCGAGCGATGGCGAGTGTCGGGTAACTAGTGGTTGCACACCTGCAACTACGTTCAACTACGTGCAGCTAGATCATGCTAATGTGTCTGACACTTTTTTGTGGCAGATGCTCGTGAAGCAGGATACAGCCGAACGCACGATCATTTAGCAAAGTACCACAAGTACGCGCAACCAGTTGTAGCATGCAACTGTCGTTGGCTATGTTATTTGGCTCAAGTCGTTGTTTTTGTTTTCTTCCTCTCGGGACATGTTCGCCTCGATCTTTGAATGTCCCACTTTCGCTCGTAGCGCCCACTTGAGCAGGCCGAAAGATTTTCCTCTTGAGGCCCACATGACAAATGCGAAGTGTCGTTGACTTTAGCAGATGCGGACGCAGCGATCATATCGCGCTCGCGTCGAGGTGGGGTGCGGCATCTGTTATGGGAGGCTGTGGGAGTAGGCCAGGCCCGCTGTGGCGCTCGAGCACCCATATGTTATGGAGGCTGCGGGAGTTGGCCGAGGCAGCTGTGGCGTTCGAGTACCGACATGTTATGCGAGGGGTTCGGAGAGGTGGCCAGGCCCGCTGTGGCGCTCGAGCTCCCGACTTGGGCACCGCGGTCGTTTTCCCTCATCCTCCCTCCTCCCTCATCCGCCTCTTCCGTCCTCCCTCCTCGTCCTCCTCGCTCCTCGTCCTCCTCCCTCCTTCTTCCTCCTCCTCCTCCTCGTCCATCCCACCTCTTCCTCCTCCCGCCCTCCTTATGCCTCCCTCCCCCTCACTCCTCCTCCTCCTCCTCTTCCCTCCGCCCTTCTCCTCTCCCGTCTCCCTTACACTTCCCTCCTCCCTCCTCTTCCTCCCTCCTCCGCTCTCCTCCTCCCCTCCTCCTCTTTCTCGTCTCTCTTTTTTTTCCTCGTCGTCGTCCTCTCCCTCCTCTCCGCCCTTCCTTTCTCATCTTCCCCTTCGCCCGCCCCTGGTTTGTGTTTCCCTACTCGTCCCCGTGTGTTGTGGTCGCTCATCGCCTTGCGCGGCGTGCGAAGTGTGGTGGCCGAGAGGTTCTCTCAATCTGGACCTGTAGTTGCCCTGCCCGCGCGGTGCGCGGCACACGCGCGGGAATGCCGCATCAGCTCCGACCCAGAGGGGCTCAATGTCCAGAGTGCCTCGTCATTGACATTCCTTTTGGTCGTTGGCGTCTCGGACCCGAGCTGCGGGCGGGCCACACTGGGGCGCAAGCTAGGCGAATGGCGGCACGGGGGGGGGGAAGGGAAACGAGAGCAAAGCAATACAACACCGCGCCGGGCCGGCGCCCTCAGAGCGTGAAGTCCACCAGGATGTGCCGGATTTTCTTTTGGCGGGATCGCCATTTGAAGCAAACTGTTGCTTGGAGTGGCACCAGACGGGGGGTGCATCCCCTTCGCGAGAGGGCTGCCCTCATGGTCTCCATGTTTGTGTTTTTGGCATTTTTAGTTGTATTTCAGCCGAGCCTTGGTCCGTCGGCCAAGGAGCTCGTAGTTTTGTATCCACGTTTTGGCCACGTTTCGATTGCAGGAGTGTGCGTGTGTGCGTGTGTTAATCAGGAGGGTAAAAAACACAGACACAATCCATCGTCGATTCACAAGAAATATGAGAAGTGAGAGGAAGACAACAACCGAGAAAATATGGGAAAAGATGGAGAATCCAGTCATCTGTGTCTATTCATTTGTGTGGGTCCCGGGGCCCCTTCAGTTGACACGGGCAGTGGCAACACTTATCCGTGCTGCGTCTCACAGGGCGCCTGCACCTCGTCGCCAGGAGGGGTGGGATGCTGGGGGGGTAGGGTTAAGTTGGGCCTGTCCCTCTACAGGAGGAAAATTCAAAAATAGTAAACAAATAGTCAGGGGACGATTTTTGGAGTATTTTTGGGCATCGGTGGAGTATTTTTGGACTGTGTTTCATGTTTCGTTCAAAATACCCCTGTAGGGGGACAGGCCCGACCTAAGGGTGTGGGGGAGGGGAGGGGGCGCGCTGAGTTCCAGAGCCGCGCGACAAGCTCCCAGACCATCGCGTCGAGGTCGTCGCGCGCGCGCAGCCTGCAACCCCCTGCGACCTCGCCGGTGAGGTCCGCCACGCCTCGGCGAAGGCTACGACGTGCAGTACCGCGGTCGCGGCGTCGCCTGCGCTGGCGGTGGTCAGGCGCGCTGGGTTCGCGCTGCGGCCATTATCATTCAGGAGTGGAAAAAACACACAGACACAATGAATCGTTGATCCCCCAGGAAGATTTGGGAAAATATGGGAAGATGGGGGGACGACGAAAACACCGAAAATATAGGGAATATTGTTATTTGTGTCTTTTTATTTGTGTGTCCCAGGGCCCCTTTAATCGTGTTTCTCCTCGTCGTCATCGTTTTGGCCGGCCGCCGTTGTCGGCAGGGCCGCCTTCACCGTCGTCGCCATCGTCTCCATGACGGGTCATCGTGATCGATCGTTTGTCGGGGCGTCGTTTTCGTTTGGTCACAGCCTGAATACATGATAGGTGGGCGCGCGCATCAAGAAGTCGCGCACCCTTAGCGGGCTGCAAGCTGAGGGGCGTTTTGACGGAACTTCAGGACTGGGCTCCATCGAGATCGCTGGGCCTCAGTGTTTCTGGGATCACTGTGGAGTTTCTCTGTGCCGAAGCCCTAGTGCACAGCCGCTCTGCTCGGATCGCGTGCAGGCTATGAGGGCACCGCTCTCCTGGAATGCTGGGCGGGATCTTGCGGCGACGGAGCACTGCTGGGACACCGCGCAGTAGCCGGATCCCGATGCGAGCCCCGAGCGAGCGGGCGCAGCACGAGCGAGCGAGCTCGTGCGTTCCGGTGCGTGTCTTCGGGTTCCGAGGCGGGTGCCTTCTCCAGCGCCGGGGCCGGTCTGATCGCGTTGGCCCCTCGCCCTTAGGGGCAACCATAGGGGGGGACAGGCATAGGGGGTTCTACATCGACCCCCAATCGCTCATTAATCGCCGATAGGGTCCCAATGGCCCCAACCTGCCCAGGAAGCTGCGGATTCACGATCGGAGGCCTTTCGCCGATCTATCGGCGATGTCTCGCCGATTCCAGGTCGATGCCTTCCCCCCCCATGCCGGTCCCTCACGCCCTTGTCTGTCCCATGGGATTATTGACCAGGCTTCATAATGTCTCGCCCGGAGCATTATGAACCTGGGTTGAAATGTTCTGGGAATATTGCTTGGGGTTCATACTGTTCCCCCCGGAACATTAAAAACCTTGTTTATAATATTCTGGGGATATCGACCCCCAAAACATTTTAGTCTGGGTTCATAATGTTCTGGGAATAGTGACTGGGGTTGACAATGTCCCGGGAACAATGAACTCGGTTTTCATCATTCTGGAATGATAGTAATTATTATTCCCCCCCAACCCCTGGGTCCCTCACCAGGTTTTTCATGCCGGAATATTGACCCTGGTTCATTATCTCCATAAGATAATAAACCTGGATTCGTAATGTTCCCGGATTATTGACTTCGGGCTAATTATCCTGGAATGATAATGATTGAGCCTTTTCTTTTGGTTTTGGAGCTCCGGAAGAGAAGGATGAGGAGGAGGAGGAGGTGTTGGGGGGAGGCAGCGGGGAGCACTTGAGATTCCAACGCCGAAATACACCAACATCACCAAACATACGCAGTGTTTCTTTGCATCCCAGACCAACAAAAAAACAGACAACAACCAAACATACACAGCGTTCCTTGCACCAGGGGCGCCAAACACTGTGTATTCTTGGTTTCCTTGTTTTGCAACACGGAGGAGGAAAGGAAAGGAGGAGAAGGAGGGGGAAAGAGGAAGGGGGAGAAGAAGGAGGCGCTGGGGTGGAGGCCGCGGGGAGCTCTTCCAAAACCAAAAAAAACAAAGTATCCAAGCATACACAGTGTTTCCTTGCACCCTAGACCAAAAACAACAGAAACACGAGCGTTTTCTTGCTCCGAGGGCGCCAAGCAGTTTGTATTATTGGCTTTGTTGGTTTGCAACGAGGAGGAGGAAAGGAAAGGAGGAGAAGGAGGGGGAACGAGGAAGGGGGAGAAGGAGGAGCTGCTGGGGGGGAGGCCGCGGGGAGCATTTGAGTTTCTAAAGCAAAGAAACAAACACCGTGTTTCTACGCATCCCAGACCAAAACAAAGACCAGAAACACAAAACATACACAGCGTCTCCTTGCTCCGAGGGCGCCAAGCACTATGTACTCTTGGTTATCTTGCTTTGCAACAAGGAGGAGGAAAGGAAAGGAGGAAAAGGATGGGGAACGAGGAAGGGGGAGAAGGATGAGTTGTTTGGGGGGGGGGGCGCGGGGAGCACTTGAGCTTCCAAAATAATAATAAAAAAACATACACAATGTTTCCTTACATTCCAGACCAACAAAAAAAACATAACAACCAAACATGCAAGCGTTTTCTTGCACCAGGGGCGCCAAACACTGTGTATTCTTGATTTTCTTGCTTTGCAACAAGGAGAAGGAAAGGAACGGAGGAGACGGAAGGGGAACGAGGAAGGGGGAGAAAGAGGAGGCGCTGGGGGGGAGGCCGCGGGGAGAATTACCAAAACCGAAAAAAACACATACACAGTGCTTCCTTGCACCCTAGACCAAAGAAGGGGGGGAACGAGGAAGGGGGAGAAGGAGGAGCTGCTGGGGGGGGGCTGTGGGGAGCACTTGAGCTTTCAACGCAAAAAAAAACAAATAACAAAAACAACAGTGGTTCCTTGCATCCCAGACCAATACAACCAGAAATACCAAACATACACAGCGTTTCCTTGCACCACGGGAAAGATGAATAAGATGATGAACGTGAATGCGATTCCAGATAAAATGTATGATCCTGGGGGGGGGGGCAACCAAACTAGTTGCACCGCGTCGATTGCACAACATGGATTGCACGACGTCTGTTGCACTGGATCGAATGCTTTACAGATATTGCACTCCATAGTTCCTTCTTTCTTAAGAGAGAATACCCCCCCCCCGCGATTATCGGTTTCTTTTTTGTCGTGTGGCAATATACATATGATTCTGCCCCATTGTCCGTTCTAGAGAATTCATAACATCCCAGGGGTGCCGATATCGACCCCCCACCGCCATCCTCTGCAAAACATATTATGCGCGCGCACTTGTTTATGACAAGTCATCCGTTTCGAAGAATGCCTTGCAGCAAAAATAGGACGACGTGCGCACGCGCGTCGTCGCGCGCGCATGCCGAAGTCATCCAAAAACCTTTTGGGTTTCGTTCGGGTTTCAAATCGAGTATCCAAAGAACATGGTTTCGCAACAAGGACTTTCAAAACAAACTTGCGATCGCGCACTTGCGAATTCTTGAGAAAACCATAAGTGTTCAACATTTTCCTAGAATGTTACCCAGCGGATTTTGAACGCCCTTGCGCGCGTGCTGTCGCAAGAATCCTATGCAACAAATGGGACGAAGTGCGCGCACGCGTCGTCGTGCGCGCATGCCGAAATCAATCAACAAACTTCGGTTTCGAACGGATTTCAGAGACGAATGTCCCGACACCGTATAACAGCAAATGGTTTTCCAACGTCAATTTTCAAAAAAGCTCGCGCTCTCGCGAACTCTTGAGAAGACCAGCGTTTTTTCCAACATGGTCAGGGCATTCTGCCAAACAGGCCTCCCGCGCCGCATGACAAAATCATTCGCGCGCCCTTTGCGCGCGTGCCGTTGGGGGGGCACGCTCCGTTTCAAATAACACCATGCCGGCCACTCTCGCGCGTCGGCCGCGCGCACAAGTCGAACTGTTTCCCAGACCTCCATTGTCGACGCGTGGACACCGTCATCGACGTCGGCATGATCAGCATCGGCGTCCGCACTGGCCGCGCCATCGTCGTTGTCAACATCGTCACCCACATCGCTATTATTACCATCGTGCCTACCGTTGTCGACGTTGCCATGATACCGCGCCCGCCCAAATCGCTGACTCACACTGAAGTGCCCGCTGGGATGTGCCCAGCGGTCAGCGCCACCGCGGCCGCGTCGGTCGCGCCAACGTACGTGACCACTGCGAGCGCGAGCTTGGGTTGGCGAGGCTGCAGAGATGCACCAGCCAACGCCAAGCACTCATCGCAATCGCCACCGCATGGGTTTTGCCAACCAAGTTGCGGGTGGGTGAGTGGGATGATTGCACGAGCAGTGGAGTTGACAATTCAGCGCGAGCAGAAATTGGTTGTACCGCATAGAACGCACCACGATGATTGCACTGCATGTGCTTACCACATACACCACCCCACCTATACTGCACAACCTGCTTTGCACAGCATAGATTTCAAACCATGTGTTGCTACACCTTTTGTTTTCTTCGCCTAGATTACGCAGCATACGTTGCGCCTCGTGGATCGCACCGCTTGTATTGCACAACATAGGGCTCACATCAGAGAGTACGTATCATATATTGCACCGCGTAGATTGCACGACGTGTGTTGCTAGAAACGCATTGTTTGGGGTTCACATGGGCCTATCTATGTAGTGATATTTACGCTGCGAGCGATCAAAAAGCTCGCCGCCTGCGCGACAGAAAAATCGTGCAATCTACGTGCTGCAATATACGTGGGGCAAACGATGGTGTGCAACATCGATGGGGCAGTTTGAGCACTGCAATCGATGCGCTGCAGTGTATACTGTGCAGTCATGCGTGGTGCAGTATACGCTTTGCATCCGATGTAGGCCAATTTTGGTGTCGCCATGCATGTGGTGCAAAATGCATGATTGTGCAGCTTCTGATGTGCGATATGTGCGTTTGGTACGGATTATGCTATGCAGCCGACGTGATGCAATCTACGATGTGCAAGCTATGTGGTGCGATACGCGCGATTGTGCAAAGTCTGGTTTGCTGTAGTCGTTGTGCAATGTGTGCGTATACTTTTACATATGTGTGGTGCAATCGATGTTGTGAGCGATCCAAGAGTGCTCCGCAAACGCGTTTTTTCTCGTGCAACGTATGTGTTGTAGTTAAACGGCGGCGACGGGGCTTCGACGGCGATTACCTAGCTGCCAAACCCAATGTCAGGCCCAGGCGACGGGCGGGAAAGAGGCGGCGAGGGGGCGGCGACGGCGAGCAAATAACCGCCAGAACAATTGGCAGGCCCAGTTTCTTCAACAGTCGTAAGAACCCCTGAGTGCAAACACCATTTGGGGAATGAGACGCCAGCTATCGCAACTCTCGTTCTTTGAAAAAGGACACGGGGTGGGGGCGAATGCTTTCAGGACGTATTCAGGGGTGAGAGGACAATAGTATTCACATGTTTTAAGTATGGAGGCGTGTGAAAGATCAGGATGGGGTGGATGATGAGGAGGATGGGGAGGAGGAGGACGAGGAGGAGGAGGAGGAGGAGGAGGAAAGGGGGTGAGAGGAGGAGGAGGAAGAGAAGGAGAAGGAGGAGAGGAGGAGGAGGAGGAGGAGGAGGAGGAGGAGGGCTGAGGACGAGGAAGATGTAGGCGCAGGCCCTGCCGATGGGGGCGACGCTGAAGGTGATGGCTGCGACGCTGCGACGACGACAGCGACGAAGGGCGGCGACGGCGATGGCGACGACGACGGCGACGAAGTGGGGCGGCGACGTCGACGACCACTGGCGGCGGGAACGGTGAACTTTCGCGCGCTCCTCGGCCCGCCGTGTGGCGCCACGGGGCGGCGCGCGCGCGCGCCCGCCCCCCAGGAGCGCCTGTCCGACGCCCTGGGCGCGGCCGTGTCGCAAGCGGGGGGGGGGGATGCTCGCGCAGGGGGTCCCCGGGG